TGGGTTTTCTATGTGGTATTGTTTGATCAAGGAAAACACAGTGGAAGTGAAACATGTGCAAGCACATCTGGGAATGAATGACGCACCATTACCTCTGAGTGTAGGTGGGTTAGTGGGAGAAGGGACTGGGTGAGGGATTTACTTTTAGTGCAGTCTGTAATGTGTTATGTGGACTATCTTGTACTGTTTAACAAGAATGTGTGGTGATTTGAGGCTATTTAGACACATGTGAAATGAGTTTATATGCAACTCATATATCCTGTTCTGTAACTGTTTTACTGTTTGCATCTTGATAATGTGCAAACTGTCCTGTATTGCAGTAAATATCTGTGCCTGCAGTTTTGTACTCTAAGTGAACATTTTTTATGCCTTGATTAGAGAATTGTCTGTTAAGTTCAGTTTCCATCTTATATATGGAGGTCAAAGGACCCATACTAGCCTACAATGTGGAGGATAATAATGCTTGACTGAAAGCTACACTTGCAGCATTTTTGGAAACTACTCTTTCTTGACACTTTCCTGCAATACTGGAATAAGGACAATTTTCTCATTGGGCTACATTGCAGGTTTCTCATAAACCAAACCCCCAGCCTTCCTCAACTAATAACTATAGACTATGGGTTGTATCCAGAATTAGTTTACCTTAGTCACATTCACTTCACTGTGTTTATTCTAAGTACAATGTCTGTGTTGTGTCTATGATCTCACTTTGTTTCTATGGTCTCCTAGTATCTGTTACAATATGTTGTGAATCATCCAAGAAAATGAGAACTCCTACTTTACTTGAGCAGTACCTTTATAATAATTACAATAATAGTGTGTTATATACCTTCTTAGAAGTAATACTAGAATCTTATTCACAGAAACAGCACTGTCAAGGACATCCAGTTGAATCATTGCAGACATTCATATCTGCTTGCTTTCAAACGATTAAACATGCAAAATAGTATGAGGTGCTTTCTACATCTTCAGCTTCTCTGATTTGCGAAGCAGAGAGGTCTCCATCTTTGTGAGCACATTTGGGAATTTGAAAAGCTCCTATGAGCATAATCACAAGATGGCTCCCATGGCAGATATGGTTAGTCACATAATGGCTGTTGTGGGGCTTATCTTGTCAAAGTGACTTAAAATGGTGGTGGGAGGAGAAATCGTGGAACTAGAGGCTGGGTTAGGGAGACTTAGTGAGCTAAAAGGGGGAGGGGAATTGTTCAGAGAGAGAAGTAGCAGCAAGGTAGAGGGGAAAGAATGAGGAAGGAAAAGAGGGAAAGAAAGAACAAGTTCCCCAACATTTTCCAAGGTCGTTATTAAAAGAAATCATTCTGAAGGGGCCAACAAGTAGAGAGCCTTGCACATGCCATTGGAAGCCCCCACAGGTACCCTGTTTGGGATCCCCATGGTGTAGCATATTTTGAGAAGGTATGAGGATCAGAGGGGGAAACTGAAAGTTGTTAACTTGCTGTAAGAAAATGGAAAATTTAGCATCTGAGTTGTGTGTATGTGTCAGATTCTGCACTTCTGACATTTCATATCTGCAGTGTTTGACAGCAGGTTTCTTTGGCGCTCTTCGCTAAATTAGTACCATGCCATCTTCCTGGGTTATAAGGTACTAGGAATACTTTTAGTTATGTTCTCAACAAATCCAGTGATTAATGTGGTTGTTAACAGTTCTGTTTTTTGAGCACTGAATTTGTAGTTTTTACAACTCACAATGGAGAAACATATGCTTTGATCCTCCCTGAGACAACTTGTTCTTGTCTGGCATATGTCTTCAGTTTAAAATGAGTAATTTGAAATGAAAGTGTTTGACATATGAAGCAGAGCCAAAATCTTTATGGTGCCATCTTATATGACTTTATAATTTTTGCAGAGAAGTGTATGTATAAAGTGCAAATTCCATCTCCAATAGTTATAACTCTAGTATATATCTGCTTAAATATGGTAAACATACAGTTACTTATTTGGGAGTAAGCCCCTTTGAAATTAATCTTATTCAGTAATTTTTTTAATAGCAAAAGAGATGTATCAGGGATACATACTTTTTTTTTTTTTTTTGGTAGTTTCAGGCTGCAATCTGATACCAAGTTACCTGGGAGTAAGCCTCACTGGATTCAATTAGACTTACTGCTGAGTGGAACTGTATAGAAGAAGTGCTAAATCCATCCTTCTCTATGAATGCAAACTGGTTAGTTGGCATCTTGTAATAATCCAGTGTTTTTCACATGGTTTTTTTCTTTCATGTGTTTCCTATTTACTACCCGTTCTTAGTTTCTTGTTAGACAAGGGACCTACAAGTGTCAGTGGGGAGGCATCTGTGGCACCTGCCTGCCATTATTTTGTTAAAGTTAATTTATACTATCTTGTACGTATAAAACTCTTGATAAGAAAATATATGCAGATCCATATGAAAGGTCTCTACCCTGAGGAGCTTACAGTATAATTTGCATTTGTGTATGCCACTGGCTAACAGTAAACAGTGCTTGCAACAGGTCGCAATAAACATTAATGAAGCTTTTGGAAACCTGGAGCAATTATTGGGCATAATATGCTTGAATTATGGGAACTGCTGTCCTACCCAGAGGGAACCAATTAGGGAATGACTTCATTGGCATATTATCAAAATCCATAACATTTAAAAAAAATATTCCAATGTATCAATAAATTCAAACAGAACAAAATCCAGTAATTTAATGAATATTGGCCAAATTCAGTACCATAACAGAATAAGCTAGTTATTATAGAAAAAGGACAAAACAAAAGCAAAATTACCAAGCCAAATAAATAAATAAAGTAGCACTCCTGTTTCTCTTGCTGCATGCCAATGAGCCACATTTCAGAAGGACAGAGCGTTTTCATTAAAGCTGGCTCTCACATCTCTCCTCTGGAAGAGCCTGACAGTATAAAAAGGAAGTGCTGGGGGGTGACAGTGGTGGTAAACCATCTTCTAGAGCCTTCTGGGTATGTTGGCTGCCTGTTTCCAAGCTGCTTCCAAGCTGTTCTGATTCCCAACCGTGCGACTGGTCTCTAGGGACTAGTTCTGTGAAGGAACAAGAGAGCTCTAACAGTCTCAGCAGTTTCACAGTTCTGTACAGTCCACTGGATTATTTTGGGAAAGCCATGGGAAATATAAATTTGTTTCAAACTTATTTTTTTTGTAGATATATATCCTATAGTTTGCACACTTAAGGACTTGTGTGGTACTGGCACTTGTGTTGCTGTTAAGAAAGGAAATATAGCTTTAGCCATATACCTGCTTGCTTAAAAGAAAGCCTGTTATAATCAGTAGGACTTTGAATTACAAGGAACTGTGCATAGGGTCAGGCTGTAAATTCAAATGTAAAGAGTTGAACCTAAGCATATTAAAATGCTCATAAGAAGGTGTTCATGTTGTCCCTTCAGTGCCTTGGCAGCACTGTTGACTTTTTAGAGGCTCCATTTTTTATCTTTCTGCTGTTGGATCATGAACATTACAACTAGGATTCAAAAAACTGGAAACCTGCTTCATGAGCCCAGAAGGCTTACTTTTCCTTGACAGAAAACTCACATGTCATACCACTATGTTCTTTTGAAACTGATGAAAATTTGTAATTTGATAAGGGAAAACAGCTCTTCAAGGGGAAGAGGGGAAAGGCATATTTTTTCAGGTTACTTAAGCAGCATTTCCTACCCTATATCACTTGGCTTGAGCCTTTGAGTTCCCGTGAGTTACGCATTATTTAATACAGGCTCTGTATATTTCTGTCTGCATCAGTGAGAACTGATTAGACTTTTTTCCAAATAGACCCTAGAATAGGGTGTTTTTCATGCTAAAACTCTTGCTGTACACAATGTGATTCACATTGTACAGTGTGGAATGGAATGCAAATTCCAAAAGTACAAATGTTTAAAAGTATCTGAGTTTAAAGCTGTTCTCAGTGTACATTTTCGATATTAAAGTGATAAAGTATGTAAATGAAAAAAAACACAATACGAAATATTAAATGTCTGGAAGCCTCCAGGTTTTAAAACTCTGAACCTCCAGTTATGTCACATTCTAAACTAAGGTATCTTACAGTCCAGTACTATGCATGTCTATTCAGAAGCAAATCTCATTGAATTCAGTGGGGATTACATCCCAGGTAAGTGGGTAGAGGATTGCAGTCGAAGGGTAGTGTTACATATTAACTTCTGAGTGACTATGCAACCTGCTCTCAAGCACTTTGGAATTCACTCTTACTTTTTTTTGGAACATTCACGTGTGTGAAGCAGGCAAATCAATCATTCAAGCAGGAGTGACCCATTTGTCCCTAGCTTTTCCTTAGTCCCACATTTCCTCTCTCTCAGTGGTCTTTAAATAATTAATAGCAGGGTCATTGTTTCTTCCAGTCATCGGGTGAGGTTGCAGCCCAGCCTTTCATCAGGGGCTCAGGCGAGTGACATACTGCTGTGTAAGATGCTTTAAATGCTTTGGGGAAGGGGGAAATAGCTTGAATGCTAGTGAAGGCAATAGACAAAGATCAATCTTCTTCCTTCTCTATTTCAGTCAGTCCAATTGTGATCTCAGATTTTCATCATGGTACTTGTTGACCTTTCCCCTTTTAAAAAAAATATCTGGAAGATACTCCAAGTCTGCAGAACTCTTAGAAGATCTGTTTCTTATAGGTTGTGCTTTTTTATGTTTACTGGTTGGTTGCTCCTATTTTGTTCATTTTTTTCCTTGTTGCTGCAGTCTTTTTTAGTTTGCAGTGCAGTAGTATTGCTTTGTAAGGATTTTTTATGTTGATTTGGGTTGATTACCGCAAATTATTTCATAACATTTCAAACAGTAAATGGCATTTAATATTTACAGTAAATAGCAGTGCAGCTTGTTTGGCAATAATTATGCTTATTACAGAAAAGCTTTTTGTTAGTGCAGGAATTTTGTTTCTTAGAGTGCCTCCAGGCAGAGGGTTCCTCAAGCTAACAGTCAGAAGGCATTGACTACGCTGTGCATGTTTTCTCCTTAATGGTTCTTTTGTCTTAAGGAGGAAGACATATGCAGGGAGAAACATGGGAAAGTCACAAGTGGAGGATGACATCTGGAACCCCCATAACTTCTGTGAACACGACAGGGTAATGGCACTGTAATGGCCCTTATGGGGAGCAAGTCCAGCCCCACTAATTTTTTTGCTTCCTGCTTTCCTGGACACTAGGTGCTAATTAAGTGGAGCTAATCCAGAATTTGGGTCAGATACCTGATTTCTGAAATTAAGCTTCCCCATCTGTCTGCTTCAAAACCTTAAAGCCTTAGAACAGCCTCCTAAGGATTTTCTTAGATTTCTTCTGTGTAATTAATGGATGACATCTGCTCTATTTGCTTACGGAAGGAAAGCAAGAGACATCTGAGAACTTTGTGGGGGCAGATGTATTCTTTTCCTTGCTGTTGATTGTGCTCTCCTGGGTCTCCTATAGAAGAAAGTGTCTCCACATCAGCACCAGGGTTTTCCAGATTGCAAGCTGTTCTTTTATGCATCCTTCATATAGAAGTGGAACAGAAGACAGTCCTAGTGCAACAAATTTCTCTAACAAAAAATTCAGAACCCCGAGTAACTCTCAGTAGTTAGAGGAAGAAGCACAGGCAGGAGATCTTGCAATCTTGCACTTAACAAATTGACCAGGTGCTAGGGTAGCCTTCATCAAGCTAGTACCATCCAGTTATTGTGGACTTGCATCCCAATCAACATAGCCTGTTGGTAGAAATGCTGCAAATTGTATTTGAAACCTCTGGAGGGCATCTGGTGGGAGAAGGTTCTGCCTGGGGGGGGGGGGGTGCAGTGTTTAGGCAGAAGGATGCTGCACGACAAGGATACGGTGGAGCTGCCGTCAGTTGCTGAGTTTGGGGGCATGGGTGGCTGTTAAATGAAATAGAATCATCCTGGGTAGATAGAAAAGGATATCTCCTGTAGTCCTGCAGAGTTGTCTTAAGTCATCAATTGGGGACAAAGAAAAGAAGTCCCTCTTTTTCGTTGTCTGGCTGTGAGAGAGACGGGCAACACCAGCAAGTAATTTTATATAAAAAAGACTCATTATTGTAGGTGCACAATAACAATAGAGAGTGAGCCCATCTCCAGCCAAGACCAGCTGCTGCAGTCATTGTACATAATGAATTTATACATTAGCATTTTGCAATGATTAGTAACAGGGAACATCCTCGCAGAAAACATTCAGTTACTTTTGTACATGGTTATCATGAACTACAAGTATTTTGAGAACATTTGGTTTTGAAACATTTTCCTGCAGGCTTATCTATACAAATTCTGACCTTCTTGACAGGTTTATTTTATATTCTCAACCCTTCTGTACCTTTCTGATAAAAGACTAAATATCTGACCCTTGTTTGGTCATCAGGAAATATTTATTTTCTTTATACGTAAGCTCTCCAGATGAAGAGAAGCTAGAAAATATGGAGATCACACCAAATTGTAAGACATAGTACAATGCGATTCGAGCAATTTACTGTTCTTCTAGGTGAGATGGTGTGAGGGAGAAACAGGAAGCAAAGAATTCTGGAAGCAAACCTTCTGTCTGTGCTGCAAGCCTTTGTAAGAAGCAAAGTGTGGGCTGCTGCATATGGGGGCTGCATTCTACAGAATTTCCAGTGTTCAGCTGCTTGGATTGCAGAGCTAATGTCTAAAACCTGGCCTTTTAATATTACAAATAGTTGTGCTGATGCCTACATCTGCTTTTTGCTCTGTAGCAGGAGTGGTGAATGTGAGACCCCCCAGATATGTTGGGCTTCAACTGCTATTGGCTCCAATCAGATGGCCAATGGTCAGGTCAGGGATGAAGGGAGTTGTGATCCAGCAAATTTGAAGGTCCATAAGTTCTCCATCCATGTGCTCAAAGAAGGAGCAGATTGGGCTACGTGGAGTAGCTCAGCATGAGAACTACACATCTGGAACTTGGGGCTTGGCTTACAGTTAGGCTCTTTTTAATCGACGATTATCTACCAGATTCCCAGAGCCTGAAGAATGAAAAAACACTATTGAATTAAATTTCAGTTTCTCTCCTATTTTCAAAATGATTCTTATGAAACAGGATTTGCTGATCCACATCTAAGAAAGACCAGGACCAAAACCACATAGCCCTGAAACACAGTGATTTTTGGCAAGTGCTGGATTCCTTCACTTTTGAGCATCTTTCTCTAAGGTTGCACTAGATGGAGGAGCTTCTGTGAGCTAAGCCCCAAGGAGCTTCTTGAAGGAAAAGTGGGTTATAAAGTTAGTGTGTAGCACTGAATAGTAATGACTGGATTATACATTAGTGCCTGGCTAATCTGGTCTTCAGCTTCAGAGAACAGCCCTGGAAGAAGAATCTTCTCTGCTGGCTTCAGTGTGTTACTTCTTCAAAAACTGAGCCAATCCCCAAAACTGTACATAGAAAGAATATATTGGTAACACATTTTGTGCTTTCTATAATCTTTGATGTTTCTAAATATGTTTTTGATGGACTTTAGAAAGTGCAAAATGCAAAGCAAAACCTAACTTTACAACTAGATGGCCTGAATGCAGCATTTGAATGCCAGCTGAAACACATCTCCTTTTCCACAGGTGCTCTGTTGGTGGGAGGCTTGTGCCCCCAATTTGAGCAGCATCATGACCTCTGTTCTCAGTATCCCTGTCCCTTCAAAACATTTGTACATTAACTTACACTTAAAGTTGATTCAAGAGAGCTAATGGGTTGAATGCACGATAGCAAGATTAATGAGAGGTCATGATTACTTGAAAACTCAAAACCCCTGAATGTGCTGAGAGTAGCTACATGTGAAAATAATTGTACCTATTTATACAGTCGTCTTCATCCTTTTCAGGCACACGGTTGACTTTAAATTCCAGCCTGCATGGGGGTTCTGTTATTACCTTGAGTTGAACTGCACTAGCCTTCCCCAACCTCCAGACACTGACCGTGGATTATGAGAGCTACAGCCCAAGACAAGTGGAGGGTGGTCATGGCTAGTTGGGGGAGAGCCCCGCTCCCCAACTCTGATGACCAAACCCATTATAGTAATAGCTTTTTACAGAAGTGCACCTTCTACAGTGCACTTTCTACAGCCAGGTGGGAGTGGTTTCAGTAAAATTATAGTGTACAGGTAGTGAGCCTTTTCCTTGCCAAGGTTAGCAGAAATCCCTCAACACTCCCCCCTCCCACTCCCCACACATAGACCACACACAGAGAGAGTTGCAGTTTGCTTTGGAAACTCCCTTTAGCACCAGTGTAAGCCTTTGTCCCCGGAAAAATTGCATCTGGGTTCTGATCAGGGTTTTATCAGTGGAGGGAAGGGTTAAAAATGCTTCCTACCTGTAGTATTACCTGTATACTACAGTCCTGATGCAGAGCCTATTCAAACAGTGTTGCATTGCTTAAAAGTATAAATATATCAAATGCAGTAATGCATTTAATGCAACCGGTAGTTTAAGTGCACCTAAGCCATTATAATTGGCTTAAAGCATGCACCACTAGCTAAGCTCACTGTAGGTTATTTTCAATAAGAAATGCTGTTGCACTTGTTTACAGCTCAGTATGTGAATCATTGTTGTGTGGCCTTCATTTTAGCTCTTTCACAAGGCAGGTGGGTGGATCCTTGGTAGATTTGTGAAGAATGCAAAACAATAATCCAGGAATTTGAGTTCCTTAAATGATAGTCTTTAAACTTAATTCAGTCTTTAAATTGCACCTTCCTGAGAAGCAGGGTGAGATTCTCTTGCCTTAGTTAGGATGTGTGCTTAGCCTGTGAGCCTGTCTTTCTTCTTTTTAGGGACTTTTCCAATCTTTGTCCCTGCCCCTTAGAAAAATGGAGACCTCAATATTAGACCAGATCACAGATGGTCCCATAGCTCTAGCCAGGTGGTGCCATTGTTCCCTGCTGGGCACCAGTGGGTCTGATTTGTCAGTTCAATTCAGTATGTCCCTGAGAGGTTGCTGTCGGTTATTGGGTCAATACTTTGGAGTTTCGTCCAAAGTACACCAAAAAAATCTACACATATGAGAACAATGGAAGAAGAATGAATTCAGTATTATAGGTCGATTGTCTATACTTGTCCATTGATTTTGCCCTGCAAGTGCTCCCTGCTCCTCCACTTGCTTTATGAACCCCATAATTTCCTTTTAACAGGTAGTTCTGCCCTTAGACTTGGAAGAAGTGGTAGCAACTGATACTATTACAAAATGTAGCAATGTTTGTGTTGGAGTTTGCCCTTTCACTCTCTGTATCTAATAAGAGTATAGTGCAAAGGTTCTATGCGTGATTCATCCTAAGATATTATTACACTTGCTTCTGGTAATTCTTACAATATTCCATACAGCCATTGTGACATTCACGTTAAAATCATTTAGGAGCTGTTGCATAACAAAATACTTATGGCCAAAGAAATTATATTTCAGAATACTGTGTAAATAAGTACTATTCATTTAGTAGAAGAAATGTGACTATAAACTGTCTGATTGGAGTTATCTAGTCACTGTCATTTTCTTCGCCGTTTTCTTTAGGCATAGCTGAATTTAGTGGTTATGGGAGATAACAAATAGGTTCCTTGTCTTTGTCCTCTAAAGAAGGTACTACTTATATTCCCTCTCAGAATCTTTTCCTGCTCAATTCCTAGCTTTTCTCCTTTAGGATCTGCAGAGGATGCAAAGGTAGGGGTGAGCTAGTTGTTTCTAGCTAATTCTTTCTTCTAATGTAGAAGCCTGTGAGCCATTGGCCCACTGACTGGAATGACGAAACTTCAGCAGGTGACTGGGCACTCTGTCAAATCAAGCCACAGGCTTTCCCCCCTGCCCTCAAGCATTCAGCTCACAAAAGAGCCAGTGCAAAGTAGTAGCTAGCAACTGGGACTTGGCAGACCCAGGATCTAGTCCCCACTCAGCCATAAATCTCACTGGATAACCTTGGGCCAGCCTAACCTACATCACAGGATTGTAATTTTATGATTAAATTGAGAAGACAACTATGTAAGCTGCCTTAGGTTCTTTGTAAGAGGTATTAACGGTGGGTTATGATTGCAGTAATAAAACAAAAAAAATCTATCTAGCTGGTTCTTCGACTCCAGTAAAGGGACTCATGAAAATGTTTAAATTCATGACTTATTATTGCCATAAAATATCTTACACTTTGCATTCCTCAGCCCATCTGCTCCATATTCTGTGGGAGGAAAACATTTCCCTATGATTGCTTATGATACATCTGAGTTTGAGATAGTAGAGGAGAAACTTGTAATATTGAACATAATGTATCTTCATACTTAAGACTTAACCTTTCCCTGTACTCTTCTGGTCCATTATAACTCAAAATCACATTATAATGAGCTCATAATCAGCTTCTGTCAGCAAATGTTTGGTACCCTTCTTTCTCCAAGCAGCCTTAACCTTGAAAGGTATGGGCTGCTCTAAGGAGTTTTGGTTGGTCCCCTTCTTCTCTATGCTGAGAAGTAGCCTTTGTCACTAGCAGTTGTAGTTTCCATGGATCCCAGTGGCAGTGAGCTTTCTAGAGCAAACCAAGAAGTGTCTGTGTTTTAAGAAGGCCAGCTAGCACTGGCCAGCTACTTGTTTATCTTTGCAAAATTTGGGTAGAGAGCAGCAGGAAGGAATTGTAGGAAGTTCCCTACAGGCATGAGAATATTCCAAGTTTTCTTAGAGAACATTCAGTAAAAACCTTGATATTTCCAAGTATCTCAGAAATGTTTGGAAAAACCAACCTAATTTGATGGTCCAGGGGATGGAATTTCTGTGTCACTACTGACAAATTACTCTTGACATGATGCTTTATGAAAGAGTAATGAGAAGTATCCTTCAAGCCAGAAAAGATACTTTCCCAGCCCACCCCAAACATGTGTATTCTGGAGGTGGGCTTGTTTGCTACAGACCGTGTTTGCTTTCAGAACAGATCAAACACTGCAACACTAGGGATGTTTTCACTGGTTTTCAGATGATCATTCTATCAGGGATGAATGTAACGATGATTATCCATAATAGGTTTTTGTTTTGTAGGTCCAGTATTTCTTCAACATATTGGACAACTAACCAGAGAATACAGAATTAAGGAATATGAACCACTTACAAAAACAAGCCACAGGATGGGCGATGTGTATTTATTCATTTATTGTCCAATGTTTTAACCTGACTGAAATACAAGATCAACAAGAGCACTGTACTCCTGGCTATTACATATGTTAGAACATAGAGTTTTGCACTTTAGACAACATTTAACACCAGTTGATGGGGTAACTGCATTGCTTCTCATAAAGTTTAAAATAAAGATTTATTTTCAAACATGTGGCTTTGGTTTATTTTATACATTACACTTTCTTTTGCAGAAAAAATAAAATTGTACAACTGCATAAATATAAAATTCTTCCACCATGAAAATGGTTAAAACATTCATTAAAGACAGCACCACAGCATATGATGCCTCTAGCAGGAAAAGAATATACAAAGCAAAATAATTATTCCCATCACTAATGAGAGTGACAGGCTGACTTGGGTCTCACACACAACTTTAGAACATACTGAAGGAAGAAGGGGAACAAGAGAGAAAGGAAAGACACCATTCACTACAAAGCACAGTACACAATCACCTGTTCTCCCTAGCTTTGCTTTAAAGTCAAGATAATTTTCCCTGCCACCTCACTAAAGTCCTAAGACCACAGGGAAAAAGGCTCAATGGAGTGCTGTTGAGTAATCTCACAGGTGGGCCTTTACTTTTTGAAAATGAAGAAATAATAACAATTAAAAGTACCATGCCAGTTTTAGTCCCACTGAGTATTTACACCTTGGACAGCAAATTGTTGCTCACAGAAAGTAGAAAACAGGTACAATAATACATGGCTTGAAAAATGACCAGAGTTATGCACCTATAGTACTGTACACTAAATAAAATTCACAAGGCAGCAATACTTAGGGGGCAGAAACACTGCATACTACAAGTCAATTATGGAATCATAATTTACAGTAGAAATGGGCATGTCCCAAGGCTCAATTCTGTGTTTTTTTAATTTACAGTAGAATAAATATCTTTGTCGCTATTGCTACACTTTTTAAAGTTTACATTCTAACCTAGTTAAACGCAGAAAGCTAGTGTAAAGCATATAGATTACGTGTAGGTCCCATACGTATGACAGTTTTGTTCAAGACTAGTAGGTTTTTGTCTTTTTTATATACTTTTTAAATGGCTAAGAGGAAAAAGAAGAAACAAACTCTGCTTGTAATCAGCTGCTTTTTATGTCAAATTTCATATCAAAACGTCCCATGAAACGATCCTTGTCACTGTAATGGATGTTCTGAGCGTAGGCCTTGCATTCGATACGCAACTCCACGTCATAGGTCAAGTTGGTGAACTGCACGGCCAAAAGGGGCTGGAGATACTTGGACTGGAGGAGCTTGCCATAATACGGGTAGTATTGTAGAGGAAATCCGCCATAGCCACCCATGCCATAGTATTGCACAGGGCCAATTTTGTCAAGATCTTCCTCTTTCTGAAGGAATGAATAAGAGATACAAATAACTTGCATATCCAGTTTGACACTCTTATGTACCACATTTGCATCATCCTTTTTTTTTCCAATACTAGAACTTGCATTTTAAACTAACCATAATCCCACTGAAAACATACCATTTAATTGCTGTATCTGTCCATAACACATAACAGAATTCCAGCATGGGATGACTTGGGGATCATAATATCACAACAGACCGTTAGACTCCTGGTCTCTTTGTAATATGCTAGAAGATTTGGTGAAGATCACTGTCTTAAGTCTTCCTCACCATAATACTTCCTATTAGAATTTTGATATCACTCTATTTGCTAAAAAGCCATCAAGATGGTGCAGAGCATTTTAAAATAAACCCAGCTTTAAAAAGCAAAACCTTGGCGCTTCAAAACAGCTAAGTAATTTTAACAGCTGCATCTTTACACTTTTTCTGAAAGTCAAGAGCACAGAAACCTATCTTCATTCTTAAGGGAGTGCATGCCACAATCTGAGAGCAGCAGCAGCAGAAAAAGCCCTTTCACTCATGCTCAGCAAATGCTGGTGCCCCACCCCAATTACTCTGTTTTTCAGGATTCCTGGTTGTGCAAAGGGAGTCTTATAGCTATGTCAGGGTGGGCAACTTATGGCATTTCAGATGTTGGACTGCAAGTCCCATCAACTCTGGCCAGCAAAGTCACTACTGAGGGAGGATGAAAGTTTTAGTTTAACATCTGGCAAGCCACACATTGGCCACCTGGTCTGTGTAAACATTCTAGTTTCTTCCCTCTGGGCATGCACTACATGTGAATCGTCATCTAAAAATGGGTTTGGATGGCTTTCAAAATGTATTAGCATAGGTGTCTCAAAAGCTGTTAGTCATGATAACAAAATGGAACTTCCAGCTTCAGGAACAAAATATCTCCAAACAGCAGGTGCTGGGACAAACGGTAGCAAGTGCTGTTACTTTATGCCCAGCTTGTAAGATCCCTAGAAGAAGCATCTTGCAGGCCATTGATATAAACAGGATGCTAAACTAGATGGAGCTTTAGTTTATTCCAGCCTTTCCCAACCTGATGCCCTCCAGATGCATTAGAGTACACCTCCTGAATTCCACAGCCTGTCTTGCTAACTGTGAAATACTAGGAGTTTAGGCCAACACAGATGGAGAGCAGTGGGTTGGGAAAGGCTAGTCTAATTTAAGCATTATCTAAGAAGAGTCCTGCTGCATCAGACCAAAGGCCTCTAATGTCCACCGTCCTGTTTCCCAGTGGCCAACCAGGTGCTGCCAGGAAGCCCACAAGCAGGACATGAGAACAGGAGATCTTTCCTGCTTTTATCACCACCAGTTCTTGTGATAAATTGAGCTGGGTACACACAAGAGAAACAACTTGTGAAATTGGGTTAAAGGTTTTCTGTCAAAATGTTGTGAATTTTATTGCCATCTAGTTATTTTTAAAATGGACCTTCTGATTTCCTCAGTTTCCACACGCTGAAAATGCAGCAATAGTATTTAGTGATTTCTGTCCAATCCTTATTGGTCAGGGAGCAATTTTAACTTGGTTTGGCTTCTGCCAAAGGGCTTTCTCTCCTGACAGAAGCTGTCACCACTTCTGCTATCAAATCTCACTCTCCAGCGGAAAAACAAAGGCCTTGGTTCTCTCCGTTGGGTGATGTTAGAGACTCTACTTTTAGAAGAGGCAACAGCTGTTTTGTCTTGATACGGAGTGATACTGCTTTGTTGGGTGAGACAGAGAATCACTCAATGCAATTAAGGCAGTACATAGAGTCCATTTCAAAGGGAGTTTCTTGAACCATTTTTAGCTGAACTCAGTTGTAGGGTAAATTTTGGGGTCACATTCCAATGTCATGCAGTTCCAAATCCAAAAGGGTGGGGCCAACATTTTAGTTCGAATTTTTACTAAAATGTCTTGAAAGTGACATTCCTACCTTTTAGAATGAGGCAAAAATGGAAATATAAAAGCCAGGAAGCCACCAAACAGGAAAGGGGGATGAAAGCATTGTTATATAGGGAACTCCCAGGAGGCTGGCTTAGGAACTCAGACAGTTCAAATAAATATTTGTTTGACAAGTCAAATGAATCAGGCTTGAGGGTCAGCAGCCCTGATTTAAAAGCTAACATGTATGCATAACAAAAAAGCAAACCTCCATTTCTCTAAGGTTTCTGTGGGGTCTCCTGAAATGGTGAATGCTTATAGTACAAGTTCTTGTATGACCACTGAAATGTTCATTGCATGCTTAATCTGTACTGACTCTCTCCTATTGCAAGCTGGTTAAAATGAGTGTACAAAGGACTTCTGGATTAGATCCAGGGCAAGTTACACATAGGATGAAACAGACTTAAAAGCTTTTTTCTCTTTTGTTATTACTCTAGAGAAAGGGGGTAGTCCATTCTAGATTGGGGCCCTGGTTGGTCAGTTAGGGGCTTCAACCTTCCCCATGCATCCAATCTCGATCAGGGTCCCTAGGCTTGCATTTGTTAAATGGATCACTATTTTGCAACAGAAATTACAGACACCGATCAAAAGTGGGTCACTGCGCCTACTGTGGAGCACAAAGAAAAATGCAGTTGCCTGTTTTGGCCCTTGGAATAAAGCCGCTGAAGTCAAGGGAATTTAAATTGGAGTGTCCACTTAGACAGTCCTTGGGACTGATTTAATTGAGGAATGTAAGTTGAATAAATAAACATGCAACTGGTAACTAATTTAAGTCCCACTGACTTCAACTGGCCTGCTCAAAGTATGACTAAACTGGGATCTGGTCCACTGTGTTTGAATATTTTATTTATTTGTCTATTTCATTTTTTTTTATACAGCCCAATAGCCAAATGATTCACTGGGTGGCTTACAGGATTCTCTGCCTCTTTGCCCAAGGCATCTTCACAGCCTCAAAACAAGCAACAATGCATGCTTTTAAATGAGAACTTTCAAGCTAATATCAAATAAAAACAACATACCAAATAGTTCCTGGAGGAATACAACCATTAACAGCAGGGTGCGATTACTGAAAAGTTCCTGCCAGGTGGGGTTACCAAGAGGAAAACCTCTGAGGAAGATTCTAAAGTACCTTTCTTCAACATGACTCATCTCAAAGGTATTGGACTACAGATTTCATTATTCCTAGCTGGGAATGATAGAAGTTGCAATCCAGCACAGCTGAAAGAAACCAGTTGGGGAAAGCTGACATGAAGTACAGGCAGGCTGATATAGAGGCAGATGCTTCAGGCACTCCAATACCAAGCCATACTGGCCTTCATATCTAAGAATGAGCCCTCTGAAATGAGCCTGGAAATGGTCCAGGAACCATTGCAGCCATTAGGCAATTCCCATGCTGGGTCCCTGTCAGCAGCCTAGTAGCTGTATTTTGAAGGTGATTCCTGTTTCGGAAAGTCTTTGAAGAGAGCTCTACATACAACCTATCTCAATAACAGCTTGAACTATTTTACCTTAGCAGTGCAGTAAACAGGAATGATATAAGCATTGTATTTTGCTTGTAGGTCAGCCGGAAGGGAATCATTTGCTGGAGGCTAAAGAGAAAAACACGACATTACTAATGTTTTTTTTTTTTTAAATCCAAAATCCTTGCTAAAAGATTAATTCCATTTTCCATAAGGATGTTTCCAGAAATATCCCCTTTCAACAGCAAACTTTGGTGGTCATACCTATCAATTTGGAAGTAAAACGGGGCAACCCAAACAGGTAGTGGTTTCTACATATTTGGGAGTCTCCCTCAGGTGTGCAAGAAGTGTATTTGTAAATTAAAAAGAAATATTTTAAAGGCCCTGCCAAGTTCCAGGACTTGCCAAATGTAGCAGGCAGAAGATATAGTAAAGTAACTGATCTCATTGTCTACAGCAGGAACTTCTGAGTTCACAATAAACACCAATGAACAGCAAAACCCAAGAACATTGAGTTTTGGTAAACCTTTTGATTGCAGACAGGGAGGAAGAAATGAAAGACAGTGTTGACCGATCACATATGTTCTGTTAATAATCCTATACTGATTTATGTGGACAGCGCCCACTTCCTCTTGAAGGATGGGGACAAAAATGGAGAGCTGTTCAGCCATGTTATGTGGAAGAAGTTGTTTGCTAGAAAAAAGGGAAAGGAAGAGAATTGGCCTTCTTGGGAGCTTAAGAATCCTTCATATCCTGGATCTGAGAATAAGGATCATGGAGGTTTGCACATTGTATACCGCAAGACAAAAGATTCCCCACAATCTAGCCCGCCATAGACCAGTCTTGAGCCCTTTAGCATTACATAGCACATGTTACAGGAGTATGGAAAAGGAAACAGATTGCCTGTCTCCATTTGGGCTTTTCTAGTCCACAAACTGTCTTTAACCTAATGTTAAAGAAGCTGCTTGAAGCTGCTTGAAGCTGTTAAAGAAGCTGCTTGAAGCTGCTCTTTGATGATATCAACAGAAGACTAGTAAATTTGTGGGGCAGAATTGATTCAATGCTACTACTGTCTGAATACAAGTCCTCGAATACTGTAGGCTAATAGTAGAACAAGCTGGGAGGTAGGATGACTACAAAAAAAATCTAACAATATAGATTTTTTCAACATAGACAGGTTAGATGGCAGGCAGACACTCTGCTGGTTACCTGTGGCAAGTAAAATCTTCCTTCAGACAAATAGACAGAGAAATATTTAAACCACCTTTCCACAATTTGGTGCCCTCCAAATGTGTTCCAGGTAATTTCCCAGCATTCCTCAGCCAGAGCATTTATAATCCAACACATTCTGGGGAACACCAAGATGCAGAGGGCTGGTTGGCTCTTCCTGACTTCACAAATGCTGGTCAGAACAAGTGCACTAATAATGTGTGGAAAATTATTGATGGCACAAATAACATATGATAGAATAAAAGAACAACTGACTTTCTCAACAATGAGTTGGATCCACATTTAGTCATACCTAGAGTAGACCCATTGAAATCATTGAGACAGATATTAGGCATGGCCAACTTAGGTCCCACTGGTTTCAGTCAGTCTACCCTAAGAAGTAGACCCTTTGAAATCAAGTTAGTCCCATCACTAGTCCCATTATGATTAAGTTAGTTCCATCAACTGGTCCCATTGATTTCAGTAGATCTTTTCTAAGGATGACTAGATCCAAATCCAACCCTTTGCCTTTAGTCAGATAAAGGCAGAAGGAACGACATGTTTCTATCATAACTAAAGTAGCTCCAGTATTTCAACAGGGTTCAACAGTACCAAGCACAAGTGAAGGTGACCTCAAGCCTCATCACCCTACTCCCAAAACCAACCACACTCATTTATTCCTTGACAACTAGTCCTTAACTAATTACCAGGACTGAAGTGTAGATCTCAAGTACAATATGTCACACTATGTGTCATAACAAGAATTACAGTTATAGAAAAGTTAAAGTGATCCTGTTCTGATTGCACTTCCATTATCAATGAATGAGCCAAGCAAATTGCCACCATTTTCCTGAGAATTTTAGGAGTTACCTTATAATCACCTCATGGTGTGACCAAATGATGAACAATTCTCTGCTTTCAGAACTGCTGCTGGTAAGAGGCAGCCACCAAGTATTATTTGAGATCAATCACAGAGATGGAGACCTAAGCAGTTTGCTCAAGCTGAGACAAGTACCCTCCTTTGCCTATGAGAGCATGACTCCCACCCCTTCCCTCAACCTTTCCACACAGAAAGAAAAGCAGCCTTGCCTTTGGTATGAAGCCCAGAATCCTGTTGAGCTTGATGATGACACAGGGCTTTCCATCTTTATAGCCATAATGAGGGTCATTTAGTCCAGAGCAATTTTCCAGCCAGGCGCGATTGAACTTGCAAGATGGTAGCTTGCCTCTAGAGGAGTCATAGGCACCTCTGTCTTTGGACGCAGAAGGCATTTCTGGAGGTAGCGAGCAGAGAGACAGAAACGAGGAGGGAGGAGAAGATGGATGATACACATTTTAATCAGCTGCCTCCAATTCTTTCTGCAGTGTTATAAGCTGCTTGTTGCAACATCAAGGGCTGTGGTTGGGTACCTGTCAGGTCCACAGGTCAGCGGGGCCCATCAACAAGAGCCTGCTAGGCCTGTTCCTCCTCTTTGCCATTTCAGCCTGTTCGTTCACCTGCCTGTCTCTGGCCCAGGCAGTGGTGGTGCTCAGGAGGAGGAGGGGCAGTTATCCGGCCAACACTTCTGAAACTCTGCCTGCCAAGCAAGCAGGAGGTTGCAATTATGAGAATGAGGAGGCAGAACAGCGTCTAGTTCGATGCTGAGAAGGCAGGTGCAGTAAGAGAGGGGGTTCCACTGAGGGTATCTTGAACCTCAGAAACCTGGTGCCAGCACTGCATGATGCTCAAGACATTTTGCTGGCTGAGGCAATGGATACTCCAAGCAGACCATTTCATCATGTATAAAAATCAGCCAGATTGGCAGTTGATCTGGCTGATGGTGGGACTGCATTCTATTTTCTATTGTACTCAAGGGCAACTGGCTAATTTGAGTGCCCCCAGGAATGCTGAAAGAGGCAGTCCCACCACTTGGGCTTCCAGAACCTCATGGCCACTCCCTCACCTCCAGCATTTGCCATTCAGGGGGAAAAACGATATTGACTAAGATCATGGCTTGAAGAGGACTCTTCTTCTTCCTAATGAGCCTAGAAAAAAGGGTTTGCTGTGTATCAGCAGCTTCTTTTATGGAACAGATTAAAATAAATCAAAATAAATACCATGTGCAAACAAAAAAAACATCTTCTTACCCCCACAGGACTCAAACTCCATATCTGTATCTTTCTGCTGTGATATATTATAAGGTACAAGGAATTGGTCAAGTAGATTTGTGTATTTCTTGTAGGTGCTGGGTTCAGAAGGATTGAAAGAAATCTCCATTTTAAGTACTTGGGGAACATTTGTCAGTCCTGAAAAGCAAAGGAAAAAAAGGGAAATAGTGGTCAAGCACAGAAAAAGATACACAGAGATACCAAAGGCAATCTATATTACATTGTGCTTGTGTCAAAAAATCAGAGAATAGAAAACTGGAAGAAGGAGACTGCAGCTAGACAAGCATGTCCTACTGACTGACATTTATCAACCAAATATTTCCCTGCAAGCCTTTAGTCTGCAATGTGTGGAGAAGCACAACACAGTCAAGAGCTTGATTATCACCTTTCTAGAAATGTCTGCATCTGAAGCAATTTGCTCTCTCTTATTCTTGTCCTCCATGTGATGGACTAAGAACCACCAGTGAGAACTGTAAACATTCTCTTGCATGGTTTCCCATGACATTTCCTGTGCATCCAGGTAGGGTAGAGATCAAGCAAATGTATACCATCTTGTGTGGACACCGTGGCAGCATGAGGTCAAGGCAGGATCTGCCTTGCATTGTTGAAGGGTTCTGCCCATGGAAGGTTCTCCTACCTGATTTTGGGGATACCACCTTCCCCCACAAACACACACCACAGTTCACCTCATTAAGCAGGGTTGCCAGACCCTCTAAGTGGGGAAAGGCCAGGGAAATCTGCTTCCATCAGCCCTTGCACAAGCTCCTAACTTAAGAACCAACCCATGGTCCGTTTTGCTGCATCAATCTAAGCTTGGAAGCTGCAGTGTGTTCTCTCTCTCACACAAACACACACAAACATACACAAGGGTATACCTGGGCATTCACCTTTTAGCACTCACCTGTGCGCGCTCCTGAAAGAAAAGTGTCATGTGCAAAAATCCTCTTAAATGGCTTGTGAATGGCATTGCCGGATTTCAGCTGCAGTGCGGTCAAGGCAACCCACCCATCCAGCAGCAGCCTGCCACGAGTGAGAAGGATTTGGCCTGTGGTCAAAGTGATGACCCAGACAGGGACTCTTGGGTTATGGTGCATGTGAGATTTCTTCCACCTGAGTACGTCACGTATCATTGTGAGGCTTAACGACATGGCAAAGTGCTTCATATGAAACTGCTACTTGGCATGGAAATGGAAGTGGAACCTGCAACAGAGGCGTTCAGGGTTCTAGACAGTGACACCTCCGTGCAGGTTCCTCTATTCCAGTCCTGCTCACCACTAGTTTCCTCCTCAACAGTCAGCTACTATCCCATAACCACTGAGCATATTCAGTCCTCATTATGTTGTTTTGATGGAGGAAGTCTCTCCTTTTCAGGGTTTTTTCCTAAAAGATTTTACCTAAATATTTTATGTACTTTTGCATACTAGGGACCTCCTCTAGACTTGCCAATACCCACCATTCTTGCGTGGATGATGCAGTATTAACAACATAAGGAGCATACACTTGCTACAGTATACAGGATTCGATTGGCTTATGACCCACACATTCCAACTGGAGATTTTCGTGCCCATTCAAAGCCATTTCATTGGAACAAAGGAAGCCTAAACCTATAGTGAGTGCTTAAACAGGACTATCTAAAATAAAGAATCCAAGGTTTTTCAACAGCGAACGGATGTCACCTTCATTAAAGGTATCTAAGGTGACGGGGAATAAACATACGGCTTCCCTAAAGATGAGCAGACTGTTGCTAAAAATCAGTGTGATAATGAGCTTCAGTGTACAGGTGGAAAAATGAGAAAGAGATCATTTCTGAAAAGAAGCTCTTTAACAATGTCACACAGCTGGCTGGAGATGATGGAATTGTAGTTCTCGAAACTGAAGTACACTGAATCATGGAAGGCCATTTTAAATGGATCCTCCACTTTAGGAAGCATCACTCTGACAAGCCCTTGGACCTCCTCCCTTCTCTTAAAACTACTTTTCCAGAAGGAACAGAGCAGATCCTCCATTCCCAATATGAGGACAATGACTTTTACACAAACCGATATGAAAAGCCCAATATAGGTAAGGGCTTTTAGATGTGGGATTTCACTTATTAGATATTGGTGATTTAATCAAATTTTAGAGCCATTTGATGGTTCTCAGTCTTCTCTGAAAGGGAGGCTCTGCCCGCGTTAAAGTGCTTCCTTTTTCACAGGGCTTTCTAGAAATCCTGCAAATGAACCTGTGTAAACAGCTCAGCAAGCTAATTATTCTGAGAGAAAGGCACCAGATTTCTAGAGTGAGCCTTGACAACTAGCTGCACTTTACACAGGGGGTGGGTGGAGGAGAGTTCTGTTGCATTTATTCTGATGAATGCTTTTTTTACCCTGCCAGTGAAGCCTGGATACATTTGTCAGTTTCCTTCCCCACTCCACAGTTCTTAGTTTTTCAAACTTAAATTTGGTTTGTCTCAAACTCAATTTCTCTAGACTCCTGGTGCATATGTACATTTTTATGATCCCATACATTTTGTATGGATTGTTGCCTAATATATACATTTTTGAAAACAGTTTTCCTAATATAATGCATTTTGAAGTTATTTCCCCCAATATATGCATTTTGTACCCGTATTTTAAATTGAAAATTCCTTTGAAAGATCCAGGAAGTGCAAATTTGGAAGGATAACTGTGTTGTGGTTTGCATGGCAGCTCAAAAGGTGAAATCAGGTAATACGGGCTGAACGAAATTCTCCCCCATCTGTAGAATGGCTGGCACTTCCACCAGCAATCTATGTATGCAAAGCATGTCCAAGTACAAATGAGCCACAGACCTTTCCACAACACAGGCAAGCCACTTCCAAGGCAAGCCTGAAGGACTACCTTTCTCCTCACGGTTGCAGGACATCTTTCAGGCCAAGGCTGAATTTCATTGCACAGAAGGATGCAGGAGCCACATCCCAGCATTGGGTGGGGTTGAAAGCAACCAAGGCACAACCAAAGGCAAAAGTGGCAGGGCCAAAATACTGGCATATTTAGCTTGATGTTTTTACTGCTGATAAATAAGCCTTTGAATAAACACTCCAACCTTTTTAAATAGGGGGGAAAGCTGCACAAAAGCAGGGAAACTGCCCATTTACAGTCAGGGGGAAAGAAATGGGAGCAGGGGAAGGGGTGAGGCCATCCTGGGAACCAGAAGAGTCTGGGCTGGGAGCTCAGGCCTGAAGTTCTAACCCCCTGCTTTGCAAGCAGCATGGCAGAAGCCTTTTCCCCTGGTTTGTGCAAACTTAGGAGGAAAAGCTCCTGACCCAGATGCACAAGTACACTCCACCATGCCAAGGCTCAGGCTTGTTCCTTGAGTGGCCACAGGTCAAGAATCCTTTTCAGCCACCTGTTCTGCATGGGTAATGAATGCGTATGTACTGTGGGGCCCAGCAGGACATGCCATAGGAACTCCGACAGAATAACCTTTATGGAAGGTGGCACATATATTTGTGTGGGGGGGAGTCTCTGTGGGTGTTCTAATGCTGGGGTAGGTAACCTGGCACCCTTCAGATGCTTTGGGCTACAGTTTCTATGAGCCCCAGCTAGCATCAGGGATATCGGAGTTATTGTCCAAAATACCTGGAGGAAATCAAATCGCCTGTTCTTGTCGTAATGAATATGCATAGGTGAGGCACAGTTCCTAGCGTTCCATCCCCTACTAGACACACGCACCACCCAGAATAGACAAAAGCCCAGAGAATGGAACTTTATTGTGCTTTGCAGACCTGTGACAATGCATGAAACGCTCTTGTGGGTCTGGTTCCAGTTCAAAGCAAGTGAAGGCCATGGCTCTAAATGGTAGCAAATCTGACCGGCTGGAGAAGGCAACGCATCTGGCAGTGCACACACACTGGTCTCAAGCAAGTTCAGCTACCGCACTGCGTGCCAAGGGGTCACTCAGAGTGATTTGTCATGTTCAAAGCTAGTGACTGATCAGGTGGTCGAACCTGTCAATTTCAGTTTCTCATCTTTCCTAGCCTTAAGGCCATTTCATCCAATTTATGCACCAGCTCATTATGAAACTCAGCATGGAAATTCAAAAACATTTTTGTTCAGCTTCTCCAAATATTTGCAGTTTTGGAATGCAATTTTGCCCATGTAAGCCTTTTTGCAAGCAACTTTCCCCAACTGAATGTATTTTTCTGTTATTTTCACAAGCATCTATTTTAGCATGCTATTCCCCTAAGACATGCACTGTTGTGTTTCTTTTTAATGGGATATGTGCACTGTAACATCTGTAGAAGTGCAAATACCAAAGCACAGTCACATTTTGATTCACATATTGGTTCGGGAAGTGTGAAGTAGGTAGGTATGCAATAAAATACAAACCAAATGAATCCTCCCCCACCCCAGCCTTATCCCTAATGCCTAAGTCTGCCAAAATAGCATCAACTTGGCTTCATGACATACAAAACCTTGGACCTGAATAACACCCTCGGTTTTTTACACTTTTATTTTTAAACAAACACATACTGAAGTAGAGCGTCAGGCCAGGGAATGGAACCAGAAAGTTTCATTCTTCAGCTGCTTAAGAAACTTGTTGTACAAGCTTTACTCATACCAGCAATTTCTGACTCCAGTTCTGTGTGCTCCTAACAAAAAACCTAAGGCCATACATAGCTTAGAAATGAGAAAAGGAAGGGAAATGGAATAGAGTGTACTAACATTTTTGAACAGCATACTTACAGCAGGGACATCCTTGGTGGGTGGGGACCTGTATGCTAATGACACAGTTCAAGGATTTGCATGTTAAATGTTGTACTTGAGAGCTAAGCAAGCATCTATGCAGACAAGGAGGCAGGAAGGTCATTTATTTTATGGGTCCACAAAACACCAGCTTTATTCTTGGATCATTCTGGATAGCAGCCAAACACAAATGTAGCGTTTGCTCAGGGCAATCTGTCTATCACAGTTCACTGGATACTTTATTGTCTGGTGCAGACTATGGATTCTTGATTCTCTCTACTCCCATTTTAAAAAAGCATAGGGAACTCTTCAGTATTCAGAGGAGAAAACCATTTTGCCCTGCCTAACTCTCTTTATACCAGACTTCCCTGAATACTGCTGAAGCATTGAACTAAAGTTCCCATCATCCTCAAAGGTGCCTCTTTCTATCTC